CGGACGGAATTAACGATTACTATATACCCTCCCGCTTTTCAAGCGGGGGGTATAATAAATTCAAATACTGTACAATACAGATGCAGAGTGCAAAGTTTAGAATGAAATATATAGATATAACACACAGCATTCAATTAAGCTCAAAAGTCCATTTCAAACAATGCAAATTAGGGTCAGAGCAAAAAAGAATCTCTAAAACATCAGAGGTGGGATCAGGTATCATGGAGGAGCGAGAATCCTTTGTCGTTCGGTCACAACCGCCGTGTGCTCCTTAACATGAACGGAAAATAAATGAAAAACCCGTAATTCAGTGCATAACTTATGTCTTAGAGCAATTACTATAAAAAAACCGTCTATCAGCATTTGACTCAATGAGAAATTGTATATTTGCTGACAAGTTCATTGTATCGACCATAGAACTCGGTAAATGTTGAAACTCTTTAATTATTCTTTCATTCTTTGTAATAAATCGCAATTAAAGCAAGCAGATTGGCTTTTTTCATATGCATATTCATATTCTAAAACAATGTTAATTATTCACAAACAAGTTGATGTAAAGAGAATATCAACAGCCTCGTTTAAAGTCATCATTTCGTAAGTTCTATGGTCGATACAATGACCTTTTCAGCAAATACAGTTTTTCATTGGGTCAAATGCTGATTGACGTTTTCCATACTAATTGTTAGTCCATTATCTATACACTGAATTGACGACAGATTTTCCCGTTATTTCCCGATCACGACGAGGAGCACACGGCGGGTGTGACCGGTCAGCAGGGGATGCTCACTCCTCCATGGCACCTGATTCCACCTCCGATGTTTTGGCTGTCCATGTTAGCTCTGCTCCTATATTTATATTGTTGAAAAGTGGGATTATTTATACACTGTAATCGGTATGTCCGTCCGTCTAGCTGTACGTCCGTCCGTCCGTCCGTCTGTCTGTTACGCTTTGGGGTACCCATCTCTTATCCGCAACTCCTATTATACCACTGGAAGAAATTTAATGAAACTTTCACAGAATCTTTATTACATATTGCCATTGTGCACCTCTTATTTTACTTTTTGATCCGACACATATTTTGGGTTTCCCGGCCACAGCAAAACATGGACTTTGTCATTATAACCATATGGGAGGCGGGGGGTATCATTTAGTGAGCTCATTGCTCACAGTACCTCTAGTTTGTATTGTTTTATGGACTTTTGATCTTAAATACTGGTCGTTATCTCCATATGTTTCATGCAGCGGTAAATACCTTAATTTATTCAAAAGTATGGCCTTGGAATGTTTGATGTTCAATTTTATTTTATATAATATATAAATAAGTAGTCATTTCTAACTTATAAGGAGTGAAACCATCCCAGTAACCAAAGAGTCTCCACATCTGTTTCATGTATGGATGTTTGACTATAGACGGAAAGGCCCAATTAACGACTAAATTGTATGATAAATCTTTATAACCGATGCAGGCTTCTGACAGATAAATTGCTGCGATTTCGACAATCTCGTTTAAAGTCAGCATTTTATAAAATCCGACGGTTGTTATAGTGACTATATTAACAAATATAACCTATCATTAGGTCTATTTTGACGAAAGGACAAAGTAGAGTAACGGCCGAATCTGGCCCCTTATTTGACGTAAAACTCAGAGCACTGGTAAATTGTGATACATGTAGATAAGATCTTAAAATGATGCTTTCTTTAAAAGCAGTTTGGATTCAAAGCTTACTTGGTACATGGAAACTATTTTAGGTTTCAGAAAAAGGACATTTTCCCAATTTTCCTCGATTCTGGTGGAATTTCATCATTGTAAAAAAATAACTAGTTAATGTCACGAAGAAAACTAGTAGATTCACTGTCCATACAGTCACTACCTTAATAGTAGTTTTACCGGATATTGGTATATTTACTAGACAAGATTAGTAAATTTAGAATATATAACTTTCACTAGGTATCTAAGTATCTATACAACCCCCTCTCCACAACTCACTGTCTTAACCAGTAATATGAAAGTTTACTAATCACGACCAACGCTTTACGAAACACACTAGTTATACTGACTAGGTTTTTCTGTTATTTGACATCTTTTCCCTTCGGAAAACAAGGAGCACAAACTTGCCTATCTGAGACTTTTAAACATAAAATGCATCTGATAAAACTGCATCTGATACTAGTGTATAAAAAAAATATATAAATTTCGTAGATAGGCAAGCTTGTGCTCTATGATATTTTCCGAAACAAAATGTGTTGTAAAATCGATGAAAATTTGCATAATAAGGAAATTCGAAAATTGACCTGTTATCGGACCTCTCTGGGACCTCTGTGTATTTCAAAACTTAGAATCAATGCTCATTTTGTGGCAGGGGTGACAGCATGTTTTTATGGAAAAATTGATGCGTCACTCTGAAAGACACTCCAAAATCTGGGGCCAAAAAGGGGTCTTAGCCTATCTTGTCCTTTTTCATACGAATTGTTAAATGCTTTTGTTTTTAAACTTCATTTGACTTGGAAAAGTTCCGTCTACCTGATGAATAGACAGAGCTTGCGGCGGATGTGACTGGTCACTCAAAATGCTTACTCCTTCTGGGCATGGTTCCACCTTTGAAATTCCTGGGGTCTGTTTTATGACCTATATAACATATTTTCAAAAAAGATTTCTAGCAATCACTATTTGTTTTCACCTTATTCATTTGAAATCATGCTTGTAATCTAATGTGAATGATATTTTTCAATAAAATATTCATTTTGTTGAGAAATGTATTTCTCTTGAGTTTTTCAATTTTTTGTACACTATAAATGGAAATTGTAAATTAGATGTAACAATATTAACCTCTCCCTCAGAAGAGGGACGTTTTATAGGTTAAGTTTATAAAGTTAATTATGTAATTTATTAGACGTTTACGGTTTCATTTCATGCCAATTGTATTTGCCAAAATTTTTATTAATGTTGCCCTTTTCTTCATATTTTGAAAAAAGTATGTTGTATACAGTAAAAGAAACTTTGTGTGAGTCAAATTTTGTAACGAAAAGTTTGATGATCACATTAATTTTTTTTTTACTTTAATAATTGCAAAAATAACTTTTTGCCATCAGAAAATGGAAGTTCTTATTTTTTTTCCACAAAAGGAATGAAAAATTGTTTGAAAGCCAACAACATTAAAACAACTTTAAAAGACAATATAAAACTGTTTTTAAAACACGCAGAAACAAGATGCGTTTGTGAAAACTGATGTCCTCGTATTGCAGCTTAATAAAGCTTCTCAAATGCAAGTCAAACTCCAGAGTCAAGGTCAATATATAAAAATTAAAAATAATGGTATTTTAATTTTTGAGATCAATCACTGTTTGTTTTCACCTTTTTTGCCAAAATTTGAAATTGGCTGTATTCTAAGATAAAAAAGGTTTAAAACAATTTTGATACATATATGACTGTGTATATATACTTTTTCCAAAGTGTGAATCACACACACTTTTTGCAGTTACATCAGGAATTTAATGGAAATTGTAAATTAGAAGAAATATTAACCTCTCAATAACAAAAGACACAAGACTTTTATGGTTTGATTTATAAAGTTAATTAAATAATTTTGGTAAAATAAGTACTTATTTTTGTCATTAAAATGCCAGGAAAATGAGCTATGTTCTCTAGTCAGCAAGATGTTGAATCAATTACACATATTTTCTTTTATTTTGTACCCAATTTATTGTATGTTGTGTGCTATTTGAAAAAACTGAAAAAATAATAAAATTTTGTATGTAAGTTATAGGCTCTTGATGATCACATTAATTTTTTGTTACTTATTAAACAATAATATTTCAACAATCCCAACATTTTACTAACTATTCAAAGTGAAAAAAATTATATGTGTATTATAAATTCGCCATCAGGGAAAAATGAAAAATTGTTTGAAAGCCAACAATATTAAAACATAAATATTAGAAGATAATGTCATAATCATATTTGTGTGATTTGTGTATTCATACACACATTCATGATATTTCAAAATTGTACATTTTTACATTTTTAACTCTCCCAACCTTGGTGTGTCTGTGTATGTGTCATGTCAAAGTTTGTATTTAAAATCAATAAAAAAAAAATAAATGAAATATATAAAAATAATAATAATGGCACGTTTGCTCAGAAAAGGAAAACAAATGCGAAAAGCACCAACTTTTTATTTTTATACTTTTAAGGTATGTTAATGTTTTAACTTATTGAAAGACCATTTAAATTTCAACAAAAAAAAATCATAATGGGAATTGTTGAACGAGAAGATGTCAATTTCTATCCTCATCTTCGTATTTTTTAAACAGTTTTAAAATGGGTATCCTTCCTGACAAAGGAGCTTTTTATTTTATCATCTTTTATTATAGAAGCACTAATATACTTGTCAAGTCAATTTACAGATGATCCATTGCACTAGCAACGTGTTTTTATTCTACATGTATAACTGGGTTTATGTTTTTTTGTGTGTGTTTTGAAGGCTCATCCATTGCTTTGTTAGAGATATCAGTCATCTTATCATTTATATCTGGATCTGTACCAGCTAGTACGTACCCTTCATAGTATAGGACGAAGATGAGTAAAAATATTAAAGAACTGTTATATTTTCCAATTCATAAAATATTAATTTTGACTTATGCTTTGTTTTTGAATATATGCAATAATCTGAGATAATACTATAACTATTCTATTTATTAAAAAATCTGGTCCCAAACTTCCTCCTCTCTGCATGTCCACATTTGCCAAATACAAAATGGGATAAAAACTACAATGAACTGTGTAGAAAATTATGCAGACTTTATCTTATCTTGGAGCATTAAATTATCAGAATACATGCCCTTGTAATGGATTAATGACGGATATCCGATATCGAGACTTTCTCATAAACAAGGATGTGGCCAGGGAATCTTAGGGCGAAATAAATACTCGAGTAGGCCTACTGCACTGTTTCACTTTTATGAATATTATGGGAAAAAATAAGAAGATTCTGTGGAAGAAAATGTGAGCAAATAATGGAGGTGAGTTGTGATTAAATGGATCGATCAGGTATTTTATTAGAACAATTTAAATCTAAGCAGAAGTAAGTGGTTGAATACATGCACGTGTATGTATTTAGAAAATATTAATGGTGTAAATAATCAGAAAAATATTAAACAAATGCTCTTTCAAACTGGATCTCTTTGAAAAAATTCCTCTGCGGCTCAAATATCTCCCTCTCCTTTATCTTTGCTGGACCTTGAAATGTTATAAAAATGGACAACATATATGAATTAATTAATTATAGTATTTTCTTAAACTCTCTCTCTCTCTCTGTATGTGAGGGTGTGTGTGTATGTGGGGGGTGGGGGGGTTGTTAAGATGTTCACCTTCGTCCAGTACACATACATGCAGTTGCTTTTCTTTGTACCCTCCAATTTCAGCAACGTATTTGTACGTTGATCTCCCAAGAAAATCGGGAAAAACTAAAAAATCGATGAAACTTCCACTTTTGGATTTAGTCCGAATCTTTTCCACGGTCAGTTAGTTTTTTATACCCTACAGGACGGATTAGGGGGTATTCCTGTCATTTAAATACCTCATTGACACGGGTGACTGATCAAAAACCTTCTGAACCATAATATTCGCACAGGTATACATTTACTTTTCAATAGCGAGGAACCTGTTCCAAGTGCATGTATAATCACGAGTGTCTTCATTCAACAGGTTGTTTATGCTGGCTGAGGGAAATAGAATAGGATATATACATAAACTGCCATGGTTTTTCGAAAAAGGTAAGATTTGGAAAAATCCATTTCTGTGAGATGCTAATAAAATATCATTGGTGATAAAATGATAAAAATGGCGTTTTCCTGGTATACTAGTACCTGTTATCTGGTTATTAGAATACGATGTATTGATTATTTTCACCTTTTCATTGGATTCTACAGGTATTCTCTCTCTCTGTCTCTCTATCTCTCTCTTTCCCCTTCCCCCCTCTCTCTCTCAATTATTATATCCCGAAACATCAATGAACAAACAGGAATACTTGACAGATAAGATGCAAGAAAAAAAGTTGCATTAGAATTACGCATTCCAGGTACAAGGAATCCTCATCCTTTTTATTCACTATAATAGATAATAATTATACAGGGTTGTGGCGGATGACAGTGGAATATAGTGGCGCGGACAAGGTCCAGGTATTCGTGATGGAGGGGGACATATCCCCCCGCAACAGACCTCGGGTGGGGTTCCTCTTCGCCCTCGTCTGTACAACTTTCAGCTTCTCCATGTTCTTCATGGCAATGAACAACTTGTGGTATGAAGGTAATAAATTAAAGACTGTTGACAAATGGGATTAAGAAATGGTCATTTAAAACTGTTTCTTGCGGTGTTAGGCCTAATTCAATGGACAAATTAAGGAAGTAACGTTTTTAAAGGACAGAACATAAATTTCAAGAGCTTTTTTTTTTTAAAATAGATTTATTACGGAATGTTCCCAATCCCATTTTTCGGATCCTCCTCTCAAAAAAAAAAAGATCTTGAAAAAGATACTTTTCAATTCAACAATCAAAACTTGGCCAGGAAAGCCGTAAAAAAAGTAGATTTCGAGTGTTGTGTAAAAAGCAAAGCATTTTCACCCTTCATACTAGACGGCTGTTCTTTATCCTCTTTTATCCTCCATAAAATTCCTTTTTGCTTATAATGAAAAAAGTAAAAATAATGTTTAAAAATAGGTAAGAATTGATACTGAGATGTGACGATACATATGTTGTATTTATTTCCCTGTTATGGCTGTGTTCATAGGCGATGTAACAGAAGATAACAGTGAAGTCTTGGACTACGAAGAATTCCGAGGACTTGGGGGACCAATACTACAGGATTATCACCACCATAGCGGTATTGATTAATTTATACATGTATCAAAATCACATCAATCTGTTGTATACCTTAAATAAAGTTTTAAATTATATACAGATATCTAGAATTTTACATAACGAAATTTGGAGATAACGAAAAGTATTCAAGCTCAAATGTCCATTTCAAACGATACAAGTCAGGAGCAGAGCAAATATGGACCTCAAAAACATCAAAGGTGGGATCGAGTGCCATGGAGGAGTGAGCAGTCCCTGTCAACTGATCAAACCCGCCATGTGCTCTCATAATTGGGATAACCGGAAAAATTCATAGACAATTTAGTGTGTAAATAATGACAAATTGTATTTAATGACAAGGTCATTGTATCACATTGATAGTACTTTGCTGTAATTTCATCAATATTATTTTGTCAAAATATTTTGACAAACCCTTTTGGTTGAAATATGTTCTGTTTTTTTTTTCTCTGGTTTCAAAAAATGCAAAGCATATTATCTCTTACTATCCCTTTATGTCTTTAGATTCAGTTTCAAATTTTGTTCCTTCGTTTTCTTGTAGATGTCAACGAAGATGCTGCGAATGACCTTCGTAAGAAAGTTCGTGTCTTGTGCTGGGTGATGACTGCGCCAAAGAACTTGGCCAAAAAAGCAACTGCCGTGAAAAACACGTGGGGAAAACGGTGCAATAAAGTGATATTTTTCAGTAGCCAGACCAACACCTCTTTCCCAACAGTCGGTCTACAAGTGTCCGAAGGGCGCGAACATTTGACTGGGAAAACGATACAAGCGTTTAAATATTGTTACGAACATTATAGGGATCAATTCGACTGGTTTTTAAAAGCAGACGATGACACTTTTATGATAGTTGAAAACTTGAGATACTTTTTGTCACATCACAGTCCCAAATCTCTAGTTTTCTTCGGGCATAAATTCAAGCCTATTGTGAAGCAGGGTTACTTCAGTGGCGGTGCGGGCTATGTCTTGAGTAGAGCTAGCCTAGATAAGTTTGTAACGGAAGGCAGCGTCAACCCGTTCATCTGCAGGCAAGATGGCGGCGCGGAGGACGCAGAACTGGGTAGATGTATGATGAAGCTAGGGATAAAAGCAGGTGATTCTTTGGACATGTTTGGCAAGGAGACTTTCCACCCTTTTGTGCCAATCGCTCATCTGGAAGGCCACCACCCGGAGTGGTTTTACAAATACAGCGCCCATAAGCCACGAAAGGTAGATCTAAAAGCTAAATTTCCCAGCATCTCAAATGGAATGCCCTTGATAAAACACAGTCGATATATTTGTAACTAGCGTCAGCTAAATTGGTGGTTAGATTTTTACATGTTTTACCTCAGTTATCTGAATTACAGTTTTGTTCTCATGGATTTTACTTTCGAGAGTAACCTAGAAAAATCAAATCTTGAATTTGTTTCATGTTTTTTGTAATGTTTTGTTTTAAAACTTTTATCGAAATCTATCTTTTTCCTCCTTACAGGGTCTTGGTTGCTGCAGTGACTACAGCATCTCCTTTCATTATATGTCCCCCTCCGATATGTATCTAATGGACTATTTATTATACCACCTTAAACCTTACGGCATTGTCCAACAGCCAGGGAAGAATAAACACTTTGACAGCGATCCAGAACCTCACAAGGACGAATAAATGTCGCTCATTGTTCAGTCTTTTATATCAATTTTTGTTTATTTGTTATGTACAATGTGAAATTGAAGAGTTGTGGTGCTTGAAATATCTATGCTTTAAAGTTTATCATCATTTTTCACTTTACGAATTTTTTTGCTGTAATTTAACTTTAAGTGCAATCTGCAATATTATTTTATATTCATTTTATTTAGTACATCATTGGTACATCGAGGGTTTATCAATATACAGTTTATGAATACAGTAAATTCCTGATGTAGCGAATATGTTTAAATTCGGCGAAATGATTTACTATAGGTCTAATTTGTAAATCGTAAATTGTTAAACTCCGGATATAAAAAGAGTGGTTATAAATAGGGACATACTTGTATATACAGTGTACTAAACTTATAGTACAACCATAGGTTCTTAACGAATGAAAATTGAAAGTTCGCTATACGCGAAATTTACTGTATATGATTTTGACTGGTATTTACATACATGTAGGCCTACTTTTTTATGACAATGCATATTCATCACTTGGATCATCTGCTAGACCATGTACCACGTTTACTCAGTATTCAACTTTCTCTAAACACCCTTGTGTTCTAATTATTTATGCTGGTTATAGTGTTTCTGTGCACTAAATGAAATTCGAAAATATTAAAATTAATATGTGACAATCTGAAATGATTTGATGATTCACATTTGAAAGCCGATGGAAGATTTTTGCGCTCTTTACTATAGGAGCTGCATGTATTAGTAACGCAAAAAAAAAAAAAAAAAAAAAAAAAAAAAAAAACCTAATTAACTTCTGTTTTAGCTCTTGAGTATACAGTTTATAAAGTTAATCATTGAGGGAGTTAGCAAGATCCAATTCCCTAAGACCCTGTCCTAGGATCATGAGACAGGCTAAATTTCAACCTTCTATAAAAAAAACTCTTAATTTGCATATGCCAGCAGATTGATGATACAAAATTAAAAAGAATTTTCATTTTGGACTGCTTAATTTCTAAAAAAGATTTCAGCGCATATGCATATCTAGACTTAAGCTTAAGATGCTTCATGATCTTGGGGCCAGGACTATTTCACTTGACAAAAGTAATGTGTCGATGTATCGATTTTTTAAATGCCCGATATGCACATGGATGCATTCATAACAATGTCAACCCGTGCACGCACGGGTCAAAGTCTAGTTTTATATTTTAAAAAATCGAACATTTATTTGACAAAGTATAAGTTTGCTTCAACAAATTTGTTTATTAAAGCACGCCGAGACACATCTTTAACGCTTAGTTCAAGATGGACATAATTCAGGGGCGTAGCAACAGGGGTTTTTTTTTTTGCTTGTCAACTTTTTCAGGTAAGTAAAAAAAAAAATTCTTCTGGCTGGCCCCTCCCAACTTTCAAAAAACGATGCTACGCGCCTGTAATTCAAAGCCTGTATTTTGCTTTGCACTCATAGAAACGAAGAAGCACACATTTCAATCATATACTGACTCAACCAGGAAACCTGAACCAGAACTTCTGTCGTTGTTGAGCTCTCCGAACGAACTGTCCAGCAGACTGTGTGTCTAACATAAAAGAGAAAAACAGAAGAAAAAATATTATTTATGGTCTTACTTCCTGGACAGTTCGGTCGTGTACACATTTAACCACATGGACAGGGCCTGTGATCTGTGTCTAGTTTCTGTCAGGGCTCTCTCTGTAAGGGAATACATACAGTTAGTAACACGATTTATTTTCAAAATTATTTGTAAACTTTCACTGTCAAGAACTTATAAATACTGGAAGTATTCTCTGTCCCCTTTTCCTCTAGGGTGTTGAATTCGGCATTGAACTTTATCCTCAAGTGTCTGTTTTCATATCACATGTAATGCACATGTGGAACACAGGTCTACACTTGTTTCGTATACGGAGTACAGGGGGTGCCCCGTGTACGAAACAATTTAAGTGCCTGTGATGTGGAATATGAAAGCCCCATTTCTTCTCATACAAAAGATATGACCAATGTTAAAGTTTTTTGTGACAGACTGAAAGACTCTCTTTTCATTCAAAAATCATGACCAGGATTAAAATTTTTGTGAATCAATTACTGACAGCTGAATGCTTTGGGCCGGGAAGGCGGCCGGGGGGACGAATATACAAGTTGTAAAAAACAACAAAAAAACACAAAAAAATTGCTAAATTCAACATCACAGTAAGAAGTGTTAAAATTACAATAAATGTTTCGCTGTCCATTAATATACAGGTATAAAAGAGTTTCCAAAAATTATACGTGAAGGAAATAATGTAAGCTCGTGCTAGCAACTCCGGAATTTTTATCGTCGATCCGCTTAGGTTCTTAGTTTAGCGCGACATTGGCTGTATCCGCGTTGAGAAAATGTCCAACCTGGCCAAAGTCCCCTTCTTGACAGGTGTCAGACGGTTGTTTTATTTAGTGACAGTGAATGAAACTTCCTTTAAAGATGTCGAAGAAGTTCCACTTTACATTAATGAAGTAAGACTTTGTACTGTCACTCCATCATTATTCCTTTAAGCGTTGTGTTACATAACAGGTCCAGCACAATACCCCGATAAAGGTATATAGCTTGATAAAGCTATATAGCTTTATGAAGGTATTTAAAATACCTTGATCAAGGTATTTTATGTAATGAAAATTCTAAAAAATTATTTAATATGTTTTACGGTGTGACCGTTGGGGCGAGCGCAGTTATGTACAATAAAAAACCTACACATGTACTGCCTATCATTCAAGAAAAAGAAAAAAAGAAGAAAACAAAACAATAAAAAGAAATAACTTCCGAAGCATCGGGATCGAGATTCCGAACTTCTCGGAAGTTTCCGACAAAATCGGAAATACCCGAGCCGTTAAATGACGAAAGTATGACGTCAGATAAAAAGTCCTGTGTTGACTTAGGATGCAAACGATAGTTTTATGGCATGGAGATTGCATTAAAATGTTTTTTGTATTTTTTTTCAAGTAAGTTGTTGCTATGTTTTAGCCACCATGTTGCTATGCACCGCAAAGGATTATTGGGAGTTTGGAATTTTTTCACGCGGTGAGATAAAAATTTCTTGGAACAATGTGCAGATTTCAACCCGAATTTCCTCCATTCGTACACGTTAGTCTATTGAGCTCGCTAAGCAAGCGGCGCTTCGCTATAAATTAATTACTGAAAGTCGAGTTCTGAGTTGTTGTCAGTAAATTCACCCATGCATGTAAAGTACTCAAACACAAACAAATCAGTACAAAAACGTGTCGTGTGAGGAGACGTTATTTTATGCTTTCTTTTTGATACCAGAGTGTTTTTCATGCACGAGTAGACACACTGACAAAAACTCAGAACTCGACTTTCAGTATTTAATTTTTAAAGAATTTTTTTTGAATTTTCATTACATAAAATACCTTGATCAGGGTATTTTAAATACCTTGATAAAGCTATATAGCTTTATCAAGCTATATACCTTTATCGGGGTGTTGTGCTGGACCTGCATAACTTTGGATAAGCATAAATCATTTCCAATGATAATTTGATTCTATAACTACATGTATATCTATTTGATAAAAATTAAAAAAAAATTAATGATGCTATTTTTATCTGCTTATTGCAAAGCAGGGTTGGGTGGAGGTACAATCTTTTCAAGGGTATTCAGTGCCAATTAGGCAACACCACATTCATACAGTACTAGATTCTATTGTTTGCTCTGTGTGAATGTTTATGTATCAAAAAATACTATTTGATCAAACATTTTACATATTAAGTGCAAAAGATCTGGGATTAGAAATTTGGAACACAAACAATTGTGATACATGATGACACAGTCCTTGCATTTCTTCCCATCTGAGTACAGATTAAGAATTTCAAGGGAAAAAACTCTCCCTTTACCCTCACTTGTGCATCAATCTAAACATTTCAAATTACACCATATCCAGTTATCAATTATCTGTTGCCTAACTTGCCTATCGTGTATAAAAGACCCATTAACATGTCTCTTTTGTAAAAAAAAACACTTGACCGGCATCGACACTTAATGAAGTCAGAGCATTCAGTGACTGGGCGTGTAAAATCATGATTAGAATGTGCAACTTGAAAAATTTTAACTGTAAATTGCTGAAACATCAAATTTTTTGATTATCTACAAAAGAAATTGAAATGGATGACAATGATTATAAAATTATTTCCGAAGATGTTAAAAATAAGGAGCTTTATTTCTTTCTCAGGCAACCCCCTTCTTCTTTGTGTGCATTTTTCTGGAGATGGCAGTCATGTGGTACAAAAAGGACAGGAAAGCCCGATTCAATGATGGTGCTACCTCCATAGGTGCTGGACAGTATTCACGACTCCCAATGTTAGTATTCTATGACTTTTAAAATTTTTGAATGTTTGTTTTTTGATTAAAGACGACATATCGTGCATTATGTAAAACATAGCACTATAGTTATCAACCTTGGCCATTGAATAATCTTTTAGAGAAAGTGTGTATGCAATCCAAATGAAAATTCCCTATTTGACAATTTTTTATGACTCTTTCGTTGTCATTAACTTCCTTCTGTGAATAAAAAAATGTTTTCTGATTTTCTTTTTGTTCATCTGTAGGTTTCTATTGAAATCCATTATGTACACTGGATATATATGGGTGTACGACAGATACCATATTTACGAGTTGCCATGGGACTCTGCGTGGACATGGTGGATATGTTTTCTGGGGGTGGATCTAGGATATTACTGGTTTCACAGATTGGCACATGGTGTGAAATTTGATAAAAAAATATATTAAAGTATTATTGAATGACCTGTAGCTAAAATACTGCATCTAATTAATCTATTTAGATTTTGTTGTTAGTAGTTGTTTCACAAATTGTCAGTATACACTTTCAGTCAAAATATAAAGTGAAATGTGTAAACAGAATTTTTTTGCCCTTGTTGCAAGTGTGCAAATTTAAAGCAGTTCAATTTCAAAGGAAAAAGTATTGTCTTTTAATTACAACTGTGTTTGGGCAAATTTAAAGCAGGCGAAAATTGTTTTCAAGTGTGAATGACATAAACAACCCTGCATGTATACAGTAAGTCTATTTTGATAAAGATTATTTTTTTCTTCAGAGGTGAATTTTATGTGGGCTGCCCATCAAGTACATCACAGTTCTGAGTACTACAATTTCACGACAGCTCTATGACAATCTGTGCTTCAGGTTTACACTTCATGGGTAAGATTTTATTCTAATGCTTATTTGAAAGCATTAGTCTTTTGAAGGATTTTAAAAGCATTTAGAAAATTCAATTAACATTGTAGAAAATGGACAAGAAAGGGGACATTGCATCAGAGACATATAAAACCAAGGCAATTTAAAGCGTAAAATAAACATGGATCGGTTTTCTGCCGAATTATATTTCTTCAGTAATTAAAACAACAAAAAAGTCTGTTTATCGCCTTCTCGAGCCAAAATATTAATTAAAAAGTTTCTGTTTACATCGTCGGTAGCCTCCATTTTAACTCTCGCACAGTCCGAGATTTGAAAAATTGTAAACAATAGGACCTGCGAGATTAGAGTGTGACTAAAATGGGTAGGAAACCCGTAAATCACTTTATATTTGATAACGAAAACCGGGCTTTTGATAATCACGAAATAAATACTCATTCTTTCTTCATGAAATTTACGGACATAGTTTATTATTCTAGGATTGGCC